GTTTTTAGTGCAGTTAGCGCCCCTGAATTGCAAGGTGTAATTTTTTTCTCGTTATTGTGCGTAGTTGTAAAGATATCGACGTCTCAAAGTTTTGTTTGGGGCGCGGCCGACAAAACCGAAACTAGCCGCTCGAGGTTCCGGCAACACTGGAAATCAGCAGCTATGTGGACGTGACGCCAAGATCGTTCTTGTTCAGCGAGTACGCAGTCCAAGCGGCACTTACCTCTGTTGCGCTAGCCGACTAAAGATAGAAGGTAAGCTGATTTTGTTTTAATTCTGCATGCGTGGTATTTATCCAGCATATGTAGCAAGAGTTGGTGCGTATACCCAAAAGCTAGCGACTGGAAAACCCGTCAACTCGTTGGGTGGCGTACTGGGCGGCCGCCGCCGCGCGTGCGCTATGCCGTGCCGTACTCGTTGCTTGTATACCCAAAAGCTAGCGACTGGAAAACGAGTGAACTCGTTCGGTGCCGTACTCGGCAGCTGTCGGAGTGCGTGCGATCTCCCGCACCCGTCGCTAGGCCTAAATTGTCATCGGGGCTCCGTGGATGGAGCGGCGTTGTATACGCCGCGCTGCCAGTGACGTACAGTGCTGGCGCTTTCGCGCGGCGGGTCAGTCCCAGACACGAAGCTTTGAGGCTCTCCGGCGCGTTCCGCGACAACCGAACAGACGTGTGTCAAGCTGTAGACGTCTGTTTTTTCGTTATTTTTTCCTCAGGCACGTAAAAGCCGAATTTGTAAGCTACGACACTAATTCACCACATAAGTTCGTCCAGGTAGTGAATCTTTGTACAAATAAAACAAAACTTGCCGCACTAAAAAAAAAAAAAAAAAGTTCTTTGGGCAGTCATTTTCTTCTCAAAGATAGCAAAAGTTTTTGTGGGTGATAAAGGAAAACAGAGAACGTTAGCAAGGTGAGAACACTTTCTTTCCCTTCCGCATTCCCACCCCCACCCACAACAATTTTTTTTATTAGAATACATAGGATCTTAAGTTTTCCTTCGTAACTTTTGACTAAGGCAAGTGTTTTTTTTTTTGTTTTTTTTTTGCATTTTTAATTATTATATTTACCTCCAGCCGAACTCGGGCAAATTAGAGAGTTGTAACTTACAAATCCGAACTTTCGCGATTTCTTTAAGGTTCTTGTGGTATTCACAAGCGCAATGTTAATTAATACTGCTGCGTAACGGGTTCGAACGACTGGGAGGCGAATGTTTATATCGCATGAGCTTCACGCGCCGGCTGTTTGCTAGTAGTCGTTATGGACCTGAATGCTACGCACGAGATTGCGTAGTAAACAAGCAGTGACGCAAAGCAGAACATTGTTTTCGTTTTCATTACAAACTTCAGTGTTTGGAGCTATAGTTAGTGGTTGAACTCTACATGCCCACCATTCCCCATTCAACAGACATTCAATGGAGCGTGAATGCTCAATCTTCAACACTGTACTTGACAATGACTGTTTTATTTATTGATCAGGATACTTTCATCATGTTTACCTTTACTGTACATGTACGATGGGCAAAGAGCGACGGCACGGCATCCTTTTTAAGCCTCGACCCCTTCGCTGACAAGCCACAAGCAACCAACACCTGTAGGTTTCGTTCGTAACTCTCCGGCGAAAAATGATCGGAGCAGAGCTTCGATCTGGGGGTCGACGTCCAAGGCTTTCCAAAGTCCACTCGTCGAACAGCGTTCACCCACACCTTCTTCAATTTCCGATCCGTTGGAAACTTGTGAAAAAGCACCTCCGAGTTGCGCAGCGGCTTGTTTGAGCAGCCTACAGCGCTTTAAGTTGTACTCGGCATCTTTCGAGGAACAGCTGGGCAGTCTTGGGCGCACCGAGTTGCTCGCTAAAACGAGTCTAGGAATCCTCACAAGCAAATAAACAAAAGGCTATACCGAAGCTACACGGGCTGCAGGTAGAAGCAACGGCTAAACACGCAATTACAAGCCGAAGTAGCGGTGGTAGCGGCACAAAGGAGCGCGCGCGACGGCCGAGCCGTGCGCCCGTCCGGAACGGAGGAAAAAAAGAGAACGATGTTGACATCACGGCCCAATGTTGCTTTAGCGATCGGCAACCCGCTGGCCGCCCGCTAAGGAGCAGCGGCTCGCGGCGGGTCGCGTTTTTATTATCGGCATTAGTTGAGAATGCGGCTTCCCACAGACGTGAAATTTTGGCTGGGGTCGTATTTTGTGTCACTACATCGATACCAGTAATTTAATTCATTTTGAGTTTTGGCCGGAGTTGCCCTTTAATATGAAGGGAGACGCGTGAATCTTTCTGTCGGTCTTTCCTGTTCAGAGGGACCAACGAAACGGTTTCCTTGGTCTCTCTTAATATGTTGGTGTCCCTCTAGATGTTGCTATTTTATTTTTCAATTTCCCTCTTAAAAAGAGCTGTCCCCCTGAAAGCATTGTTGTCCCCTCTAAAATCAGAGGGACAGCGTTTTTTATGAGAGACCGGTTTTAGAGTGTAGATATGGTTGGCCTCACCGCAGGGGTAGCAAAGCGGGCGTCGGTCGGCCGTTCACCACGCGTCAGTTTTGCTTGGCGAGGCTCGCTCTGGGCGGACGTACTGGACTTGTTCTTCCTGGCGTCGTGGGTACTGCGGCGTAGGACTCACCCGTCGGGATGGTTCCTGGTATTGACGGGTAGCAGTCGGCGGTCGTTGGGCCATGGCGACGTAGCTCAACTCCAGTTCCTTTGGCGGCGCAGGCTTGACAAGAGCCCGTTTTTCGATGGCTCTCTGAAGGTCTTCTTGCACGACTTCGGCGATGGACAGCGATGCCGGGGGGTCCGCAGCCGGCTGAAGGTTTTTTAGTTCTTTGCGAACAACGTCGCGGATGACCTCGCGAACCCCGTCGGCGCTGGTGCTGAACTCCGAGCGGGCCGAAGCCAGAGTTGAGACATCGTTGATACGATGATAGTGGCGAGCTCGGGCCGTCAGCGCCCGTTCGATGTTTGTTGCTTCGGTAACAAACCCATCGACTATCGTTGGAGGGTTGCGGACGAGGCCGCCAAGGATTTTGCTCTTCACGCCTTTCATGAGGACGCGCAGTATTTTCTTCTTGGTAGCTTGAGAGTCTGCAGTGGTACTCAGCCACAGAATATCATCAACAAAGCTCGTGACGCCATCGTTGGGTGATTCATAAAGGTCCGCTTCAGCTGGGTAACGCAGGCGTCCCACGACGTCAGCAAAGCCTGGTGATTCTCGAACCAGTGCCTCGCGGTTTTCTCCAGGGAGAGGTAGAGATTTTGTAGGCGCTCTTCCGTAGTCCATTCGTTGTGACGGGCTGTGTGTTCATAATGCTGAAGCCAGTCCTCCACATCCTCGTGGGCCTCACCATAGAATGGCGTCGGATTACGTTGGACGACGGGCATGAATACAACGGATGGAGCGGTCGAGCTTCGCGACGATTGGGTGTTCATGGCTGATCTCTTCGGCGGTTTTGTTTTGTTCTTGGCTGGCAGAAAACCAAATTCCGAGGGCTTGCCTTGAGTGCGACGGCTTGCTGATGCGGCGACTTCCTCCTCAAAAAGTCTTCTTTCTCTGGGGAGCGGGCTAGCGCTACGGCCCATCGGAGGAGTACGCTGTATGGGTTGTACCCTACACCTTCACCAAAATGTCACGAGCGAGAAATGATGAGGCGGCAGATAACTGGAGAAACTAAACGTTTAAGGGGATGGTGAACTGAACATTTCAGTGTCTATAATAAGCGGCGCACTATCTTTTCATGAGTCAGCAGCCGCCGGTGTGCGCGAGTACACCCAACAAAATGACGACATCATATCCCCCATTCGAGCTTATTAAGCGTGAATGGGGGATATGATGACGTCAATTTCGTTGCGTGTGCTCGCCCACACCAGGGGCTGCTGACTCAAGGAAAGATAGTGCGCCGCTTAATATAGACACTGAAATGTTCGGTTCACCATCCCTTTAATGGGGCGAACTTCTGTCCAAAACAAAATAGAAGGTTAGCGTGGCAGGTGTCGTTGTCGGCGAAACAGCAGGATTGAGCGGTGGGGCGAGACTGACCTCGGACCGCCACGGGGAACACCTCTTGTACCCGCGCGGGTTTCCCGAACATTCAGTATAGAACGTTCGGTTCTCAAATTTACGATAACTTACGTTCGGTACTTAAAATACAAGGTACTCAAACTTACAATAACGCTAAATTTAAAGAATATAAAAAGGAAGCGTCCACTCCCATGGGACCGAACCTGTGGTCTCTGGGCGAAAACCAACCCCGTAGTAACTAGGGTGCCTTCATGTGCGCTTTTCTTAGGGTGGAGACATCTGGCCATTTTGTCTCACACTTTTATTTTTATTTTTTGTTCAGAAGCGCGTGAAAGAACGTGTCCCTGCACGCGCTCGTGGCGCTGACTGTGCTACGGCGACATTTCGTTTTCGTCAATTTCTTTGTATTTTACCCGTGAGCGCGTGCTGTCGGGTGGCATCACCCTAAACAAAGGGTGGCATCACCCTAAACAGAAGGACATTGAGGCACTCTAGTAGTAACCATTGGGCCACGCACGCGCTCGCTCGGCGACGCGCGTGACAATATCTCGGTTTCTGCCACTCATTGCGCCACCGCGATACAGCTGCAGCACGGCTGCCAATGGAGGCTATTGAAGTGGGGCCCAGCGCCGTATTCGTGAGAAGAATACGGCGTCAGCCGGAGGCAGGACAGCAAACACGCATGCGACTACCAAAGGACACATATAAGCGCACCACGGGTCTCGACCACAGGCGTTGCCCTGCAAGGTAGCTCAGAAATGCAGCTCGGCCACAGCTCGCCTGGTCCGTAAACTTTGGTGTCCCACTGCACATTTGAGTTTAGTATTTCCTACAATTATTCTTTCACCTATTTACCGCTTCAATAAAAAAATAATTAAGTTTAGCCAATTTCACATATTGTCGTAAAATCGTAGCTATTACACGATGAAAACATGTAGCTGTGAAGAGCTGTCCACAGCCGTGTCTTCCGATCTCACAGATCCAACTTCATGGACTTCTACGGCAGTAACAAGGCCCCGTTTCCCATCTTCCTACGGCAAGGCTGGCTCCGAAACGCCGAGAGGAATGCCGGCTTTCTCAAGTTTCTAGACTGGCTCTTGACCAAGGATGACGTGTTTGTGGTGACCATCCGAGAGGTCATCAAGTTCATGAGGAACCCTAGGCCACTACGCAAATACCAAGAAGACCGATGCCACAAGGAGATCGCACCAAGCACCAAGTGCACAAGACCCGTCCAGTGCATCTACAAGCGGGTCAAAATCGTTGATGCTATTAAGGATCGATGGGTACGAGTGTGCGCTTCCTGTCCAGGGGCGTACCCTTGGGTAGGATTCCGCGATTTCTGAGTTCATTTTTCGTGAAATTCGCGGGTATTTTTCGGAGGATATTCGGGGTTTATTGGAGTTTAGTTTACTTGAGTTTAGTTTACTTCTCTGAAATTGAGAGTTTAACTTGTACTTGTCGTTCCCGATTTTCCAAACATGAAAAAAAGAACAATTAATATCGAAACACAAAGAGATCCTAAATTCACCTTTATACGAATTATATGGCTTGAGTTGGATTTGTCACTGCACACTTGCCATTGTCAATATACTGTATTTGTCCTAGTGCATAACAATCAAACTAATGATGTTTGAATAAACGCGGATACTTCAAACCTCAAACCGCTCGGGTGTAATCACTGGGAACCATAAAAGCTCAATCTGGCCTGAAATCACCTAAAAAATTTATTGGTTCATATTTTTCCTGTTATACAAAGACGACCCGTCCTCCTCTAGGAGGCCCCAATAATATGGTCCAAACCGGAAACCAAAGCGGTGGCTTTTGCCGTAACTGAGAATTACAGTGAATTGATGTTTTAAACGATTTTGACGATCGAGATTGTTGTTGTTTGTTGTACTTTGATTCACCTGTATTGCTGACTTCCTCTCCGCGAGTGTTAATTCATTTTAAACGATGATTCGTAGTGTGTTATTGACCCCCCTTATATAAGGCCCTAACGGGCCCTCAAGGAATAATAAATGAATGAATGAGATATACTGTAAACGTTTTTGGTCAATAATTTAAGACCCAAAAAGGAAAGCGAAGGGGCTTCTCCTTGTAACCGCTGACCCTGTGCTCTTACCAACGTTGACTTTTTTGGTTTTTCTGCTATCGTAACTTTGATATTCGGAGTTTTTTTGAATAAATTCAAATAGACGAACATTTTACCCCAGTGAGTGTTTTTCGGATTTTATCAAATTTGTTCGAAAACAGGGAACACTTTCAATGGTTTAGAAGCGTTCCAGACACAGAGGAACTCCGATGTTCTTTTAGTTATATATTACCAATTCGGAGTACCCAAGCTTTACTCTTTCCGGCACTCTATTTAATATATCTAAGTTTAAGATACGTATTAAGAAAACGGCAAATGAAGGTTATGCCCAAACCAATATTTCACTTTTCCCGCGCCCTCCATGCAGTTACACATGCTGTGTAACTTGCAAGTCATATAAACAGCCTAAAAAAAACGCAAAATCTTTTGCCTTATGCGCTTCCTTTTGATGGCGTGAGCTTTCCCAGCATTTATACCGCACCATCAAAGTCCATCAAAGTTATTGTAACCCGTCAGGAACAAGCTGTACTGCCGGTACTGCCTGCATATTACAATATTTGACGCCACGTCTTCAGTGCGAACAGAAGGGCCTCCCAGCCTTTCGGACAAAATTTAAAAACTCAATATCTCAGTGGAAAAAGAAGTATCTATTCTTGTTATTTTGGTTTCTATCATTCAAATATGCATATTGCAAAAAAAAACTAAAAAACTATGCGTGTAATTTTGGTTTTTATAGTTCATATATGCATATGAACCAATTTTGAGAAAAAAACAGGAGCAACTTTCGTGACTTTTACTTTTGGGTTTCAAGTTCAGATGTGTATGTTAATGTATTATACCAATTTTGAAGAACATCAGTGAACAATATTTGACCAAGTTTTCTCAATACCAAAGTTTTTTTTTCAAGTAGTTTTAATAAAGCGCAATACTTTGAAAGCTAACATCATCTTGCTTTGGAGAGAAACATTACTTCTCTTGCTTGTTCTATTTATTTTGGGAACTTCCATTGATATGGACACCTCAATTCCCCACAAAAACATCCCTGCTGTGAGCTGCTTATAATGAGCCGACAAAAATGCATGGGATTATCCCGTTCGTCCAAAAATATGTTGTCGAAGTAGCGGGCTATCCATAATAACGGGGTTCATATTAGCGAGACAAAGCTAATAAAATAAAAGATAGTACTTTTTTTATATTACGTAGAACGTTCACGCACTAGCGTGACTAACGTCTGTCGATATACGTATGGTCATTCGCGTTCATGTCTAAACCCATGGAATTAGAAAAAGTGTTCATGCGGAGTGCTCGCTCTTGCGTCGTCGTGTGGTGTCAACGCTAACTTAAGCTATGAAAGCCCGTGCGTTAAACCTTTGACATCATCACAGTGAGATCGCGCCGACACAAATTGGACGCGAGCGATGTGTCAGCATTTGGCTGGGGCCGGGGTGTCATCAATGCTGGGCACTCGGTGTCTAGCTTCGGACGAATCGCTGAGTTGATGCCATCTTAATGCGATGAGCTTCCATGGACGTAGAGAAAATTGTGTGCAGCAGCAAAGGCTTTAGTTTCTACGTCTCGAGCAAAGTCTGCTCTTTTTCGAGTGTAAGGAAGTACATGCAGGTAAAGAAGACTCTTCGCAGATTTTGATTATTCTACATAGTGTTGGTAAAGCAAGATTCTTCTAATATAACGCATCCTTAAATTAGGGGAAGTACATATACTATATACATTTTATCGCTCTAAATCAAGGCGTGGTCAAAGGCCAAATGAGATAAAAACAGACACGCACAGACTAAGATCGCAAAGTCACGGCTCGCTTTCTGCGTTTTGTTTGATTAGAAGGCCAATGTTAAACGCACAATCATGAGAAACGGTGTGACGTTGCGCTTTTGACACTCTTTGATTGATTCCATCGGCCGCTGTTGTCTGTTTTAGGTTAAGAATAGCAGGAAAAGCTCTTCTCACAAGGCGGTTCTTTCTTTCCGCTTTAGCAGAAGTGAACGCTGTAGAGGAGGCGCGGCGTGTGCAGAAAACGAAACGACCAATCATTAGGAGCAGAGATCTCTGTCGATGGGGCTTGTCCTACTATTGTAAACCTGCAATTAGAGAAAAAAGAAGTAATCTTTGTGAGAAAAAAAATTAATAAATATTAAATTAATAAATCAGGTTGATTTGCTTTAAATTAGATCTATTTGATATAAATCAAATTTACTCGATTGAAATTACTGCAGCTTCTAAATAATGATTCTTTATGCAAGATGCATTTTTATACGTGGTGAATTAATTGTTCAGTTCGTTCAATGATAAATAATAATGCGGAAGAAATAATTACGGTAAAATTAAAGTTCGATAAAGTTTGAAAATAAAGTTTGAAACTCTTCGCTTCAAATCGCTTTCATTGCGGGAACACGAACAATAAGGCACACACTAAAAAATTTCGAAGATCGACTAGAAACAAAAGATAAAGAACAATAAAAGCGTTTGCTGGAAATCTTAGACACTCGAGATTCGGCACCATTACGAAACTTTAGGCTGGTAGACGATCTGAATAAAAATGAGATTTCCTCATACATCGTCATTTTAAGGAACAATTCAATCCCTTAATATATATATATATATAGAAACGAAACAGATAGAGGCCCAAAAATGCGGAGAAGCAGGCCGTAAAAGCGTAGTTGTAAAAATAAATTTTACGGACGGCCGAGCAACATGAAACGTATCTCGGCTGCTGAGGCGCTCGCGACGGACGCAGTTGCAGCGCCTGAACCCGGCCAGACACAAAGGAGGAAGGCCCGGGTCTCCGCGTTAGCACATCAACTGGTACGAGCCGCAGCTGCCTCACGCGAGTGGGAGCTGTCGTCACGGGGCACGACAACACTCGACCAGCGGCGTATAAAAGGGAGCCGGTAAAAGCCCTCAAAAGGAACCCGGTCCCTTTCTTTCTCTCCTTTCGTGTCGTGCATGACGAGCCTGCCTGGGCGTCGTTTTTCTTCCGCAATCATCAAGTGTCTCCAGCGACTTTAGCGGGGCCGAAGCGTCGCAACTTCTACGCAAAATTCGAAGGCTGTACCGAAAAAGTCTTTTACTTCTTTCTTCCGCTCGTGTATCCCCCGAGGACGAAGAGTGTTTCGATGTCGTCACTAAATCCGGTTTCGTCAGTGAGCGATTAGTTTGTCAGGAACTTACACACATCTAGATTAATTACGTTAAAAAAAAATTAGGAAATAGGCACACGAACAACAGAATGGCGCATTGCCACGGAAATTCTTTTCTTTTTCTTTCGTTTGTAAAAAAGTCTTCGTCTTGTCTTATTTTTCTTTTCTTTTTTTTTCGGGGGGGGGGGGGGGGGGAGGGGGGGGTGGGGGAGGGGGAAGCAATTTATCGCAACTTCCGCATAATTTTTTCCTTCTATCATTTCCAGGCGGCGCTGATAAGTTGGCGTTTAATATATATACAGTCGAAGGGTAACTTTGCGGTTGCATAATATATATATATATATTTTAATATTTTTGGTAGTGGGAAGGATTTGGAACCCTTACAGTGGACCAAAAGCCAGATAAATCCTAAAGTACCGGGATAATGAACGTTTCGTCAGAGTTCTATACTAAAACAACTAAGACGATATAAAAAAGAAGTGATCTTTGAGGATGGCCGAATAAAGCTTTCTTTCTCCGCATCAGCGCTTCAAAACAATTAAAGGCGTTTACAAATCTCTTTAATGCGATATTAGAGCGCTGCTTTTGATGAGGAGGAGGGTGTTAAGAAGGGGAGGGTATGCCCCTCCCCCTAATTTCGTACGCTCCCCTCCTCCCCCCCTCCTGCTCGCCTCCTTCTACTCTTCCCCCTCATCCATCCCCTGCACTCCCCTCCTCCTTCAATTCAGTTTCTTTGCCAGATTTAGCTGGAAAATTGACGTCGCGTGACCTCAACACCAATTCGATTCCCCGCTAAATTTAGCGGGGAATTGATTTGGTGGTGAGGTCACGCGACGTCAGTTTTCCCGTTAAATTTAGCGCGGTAACGCCGACGCCGACGCCGCGAAACCCGGAAACGGGCGCCTAAGAGCTGCGCTCTAAACAAAGTGGACAAATTACACGATCAAGCTCCCTTCACGCTGACTGAGCTTCAAACATCTACTGAAATATATAGGGAGCATCGACATCTGAATTACTATAGTCACTGCACACAAATAAAGAAACGCAGAATGTGGCTGCTCATGAAAACGATTAATCCCTCGTGACCTGTTCTTTGACGCTCTTATCGTTCAATCCTGCAATCTCATTCGCTGCGGAGCAATACTATGATGAAGACTCGGCACGCCCGCGTTTCCAAAACTCTCTGACGTCACTCCATTACAGTGTCGCTGCGGTCGGCACTGCGCATGCTCAGGTGTCCCCACACCCAGCGTGGGCAAACACGGCCCTGTTTGTAAACATTTGCTGCGTTCGATTTGCCTGCACCTCTATGCAGCGGTGCAGAAAAGTGTAGAGCAGTGTACTTCCAGTCGTATCTGAATACACATACCGGAAGTGTACACTGTCCTACACTTTTCTGCACCGGTGCAGGAGGTGCGGGGCAATCGAACGCAGCTAGTGCGTACAACGATAGAGAGTTTTAGCAAAACGTTTTCAAATGTCCGATACAACGGCGGGCGCGCGCTTCAACCCGCGCGTCCAAGTGGCTACGCTCGCTTTATGATAACGACACGAGCATGGATTTTTCGTAGAGCATCATCTCTTGAAAGTCCCCGTTGGAGACTACCACCCGAATGTGTAAGCTCGCACTTATAGCAACACGCGTGTGTTCAAGTTCGTACTTTCGTATGGTCTGAAATAGGTTACACATTTTATGCCACGTTAAGGGGCGGTACAAACATAGGGTGGCCGTTAGCAAAGAGAACTCCAGAGAGTTTGAGTTATTATTGCCGATCGTGAGTCAAAACTC